TTGGAACACTGGGTCTATATGAATGCTTGTTTCGTTCCCTTCCCTTTCCACTATATCAGGGGTCAGCCAACAAATCCCAAATGCTGCCTGAACGGTCTTTACATTTTTTAACTTTTATTGTATTTTAAAATGTAAAAACCATTCTTAGCTCAGTTTGTCCCCTGTTCACCCTCCTACCAGAGTGTAAGCTCCATGAGGCCCAGGACCTCCTTTTACTGAAACTTTCATTTTCTCCTGCCTCTTCAGTCATCTCCTAAAACAAGTTTGTTGAATGAATGGATGTCAGAATAAATGACACTAGGGACAATAAGGAAGAATACAAAAAGTCAGCCCACGTTACTTTTGCTCTATAAGCAATTTTTATTTACAAACAGCAATTTCCATTGACTTTATTGATACCATAAAAAAAAGCCATTTACAAGCAAGAACCAAGAATTCATCCAAACAAAATTAAGCAGCACTGAAGTATCCGTGTCACAAATCTAAAACCCAATGGGTACAAGAGTAAAATAGCATTTGAATAAATAGTTTAAATTCATGCTTATAAAAGAATCCTTATGGCAAGTTACTGTCCTGACAGCATCAGCTTAGCTAGCTTCATTACTTCATGTGGCTATGAAGTGGGGACTTGTGAGGTTACCAGTTTATATTGCAAGATAATGACACTGAGAGTTAAATCATTCTGATTGTTCCACCATTTATAATGGAGAATGTTAGCCCTACCAAGAAAAGTGGCCAGAGATGCTTTTCACATTAATAAATGGTTATTCTCATAACAAACCAATTTAATTCACCTCTTACTATACAGTCAGGGCAACAACCAAGGCCTTGGACATAAGTCCAAAGATTGAATTCACAGCATACTTGTTGAGGAGGGACAGTAAGAGGTTTACTGTGGCCGCCACAAAGGCAGATGCTTAGGGGGTCCTAAGCAAGGCTCATTGCTCCACTTGATCAAAATCTTGGGACAGTGTAGGGAGTCCCTGGCTCCCTTTCAGCTAGGCCGAGCAGTCTTCACACAGATTCAAGAATCCTGAGGAAGCAGGTCATTGCCTGGCCTGGGGAGTCCCATATTGGGTAGAGGCAGCTAAATCACACTGGCACTTTTTGAACAAGATATGTAAGAAATGCACAATAGCCATTATAAACTTGGAACAAAGTGAATGACTTTCCTGAACCTCTAGTTCAGTTGCACTGAGCAATTATGAAATCTATGATTTATGAACTAGATTTATATAAAGAATTTACACAATTCCCAAATACTTTTCATATATAAAATTTAATAAATAACCCTGACCAGTCTAGAAGCACCATCCAAGGGGAACACTCCCTTGGAAAATAGATTCGGTGTTGCATATTTGAGTCCCTTTCAGGAGGCTTCACAGGAAACCCTTTCAGAATACCGTAATAAAAGAATCACAGTAACTAATATAAAAAGCTATTCAAATAAAATACACTGATTTCTTTAAAGTAAAGCTCATTCACATAAATTCTCACCCTCCCCTACCCAGCCCTTATTTTGTATTTCCGCAAGTTCTTCCCATGCTTTGGGCTTTTTTTTTTTTTAATTATAACACAGGCCTTACCATTTGGGCTAAGAGCAAAGTGAAGACTTGGTTATGTTTTTGGAAAACATGAGTTTCCTACTCATGCCTGGGAAGAATCCTAGAAATCAATTTAGTTCTACAGTATATTTTGCTTAACAGTGAACTGACAGTATCCTTTCTGCTAATACAACAAAAATTAGAGGCAGAATCCAATCATGAGTCTTTCCACTCGCTAAAATAAATGAAACATATAATATGTTGTATTTACAAATATAATTTCTAAATGTATTTACAGGTTTTATAGAAATGATATGGTAGAGAACAGATTAGGAGAACCAAAGTAACTGTTTAAAACCACAAACATTAGCAAAAGTATAAAATTCTTTGTTTTCACAGTTTGTAATAACAGTTTAAATATCTATAGAAAAGGACGCTGTCACTGCCTTCACATTGTCTATTTATTGAAAAAGGTAGCTCAAGAAGAGACTCAATTATGAACAAGCCTATATGAATTCAGGATATATTTCACTGTTAAAAGATTTCACATATCACTTGTAGTATTTTATTGACTTCTGCATCTGTTATAAATGAAATGTAAAACAGTACTGTGTTAACCCCAAACTGTACAGAAATAGGTACTGTACTTTTAAAAAAAGTTGCTTTAAGTAGTTACCACTCAGCATATTTCTTCTTTGAGGAGACATGAAATGAACTTCCGGTAAACAATGTGTCTAGGTTGTGGTCATGACAACCTCCCTGGCATATCCTCATGTGACAAGGCACAATTTACCTGCTGCTGCCAGACTGGAAGTTCATCTTCTACCAGACTTCACACTGTTAGGGAAGGTGACCTCAGGAATGCTCCAAGAGATGAAGGAGCCCTATGCTGGCCTAGATGCCTGTGTTCTCCAAAGCACTGCTGAGTGGTTACAGTACTGTGTTATGGCTTGAGAATTCATTCTTAACACTGCTAGCAGTGGAAAGGGTAAAGTGTTAGCAACATGAATGGGAGGCAAGTGGAACTTGCAAATATGTTGAATCATGATTATTATCGAGAAAATGAATCAATTTCCTGCCCCTTAACAGTCCCATTACAATGTTTTGAACCTGAACTGTACAATCAAAGCAATGTATATATATTTTTTGTCAGAGACAATTTTGGATAAGTCACTCTTTGGTAAACTCAAACCAGTTTAATAGATTTACAAATACAAAGAACTCCATTTAAATAAGGTTAAGACTGTGACACAATGACAAGAGCCAGGACGTACAAGGTGCCGCCCAAACTTCCCTTCTCCTAACTTGCCTCAGTTCACAAAAAAACGCTATGGAAACCCACCCAAGGGCTCCAAGCCTGAAAAGAGAAGGGGGTTCCCTGAGCCTAACCTCTTGTGTCCTTGATTTGGCCATTTCTTGTCACATACTTAGTTGTATCAAAACACAATTTTTTTTGCATTTAATTTCTTTAAAAAACAAAACAAAACAAAACAAAAATTCATTCATGTAAGAAAAAACATCACAAACATTTACCTGAAACCCCAGAATGTATTTAATTGGGTAAACACTTAAGAGTCCAGTCTCCCCATGAGGCACAAGCTTTAATAGGAGTTATACAAGTGCTTCAGGGAGAGAACAAACCCCTTATTTAGGCAGTTTTAAGAGGAAAAAAGGCATATTATATACCCGATTTAGCTAAAAACTGCTCCTCTGGAGCAGCTGGATTTATAGTGTAATCTGTATGTAGTAACACTGATCCATAGTGCAGCTGGTTATAAGGTTAGCAGACACTGTGTTTTAAAGAAAGCAGCTATCACACAGCTACACCCCATAAGGGGTCATTATGGACGAGGGCTTGAATTTTTTTTTCTTAAAAACAAAAACAAAAACAAAAACCCACTATTTAAGTTATAAGAGCCACAAAAGCATTGCAAACCAGCAAACATATATGTATATATACTTTTTGTATATATACATACATATATATACTTTTTGTATATATACATACATATATATTTATATATTTTATTTTTTGGTAATCCTGTAAACTCAATCACAGCTCATTTTTAAAAATTGTTTTACTCTTTTTCAGCTGAGAAGTTTTTCCACAACAAGTCTGCAGAGCTAAGTTACTACTCCAGAAGGGAGTTTATGGAAGGCTTGCCATCATCATGGCAACCTCCAGAGCACCTGCTTATGACCTATGACTCACTCTCGATTGACCAGAATACACGGTACCAAACCAAATCATCTTTTTTGTGTAAATTGTCTTTTGGTACACTATAAGCACATATGAACACTCTGCAGAGAACTAAAAACATTTCCTAATGAATAAAAAAAAATCTTCAAATAGGGATAACATCTGTTCTTATACAGTAATGTGTTTGCCAGCACAAGATTTTGAGGTCTCTTTTTCAAGCAAACTAAAGAGAGGAAAAAAAAAATCTGTTGCTTGTAATTCACTATCACCATTAGGTTTCACATTTTTTTTATATTATACTGACCTAACTGATATTAAACATAAAAGTAGCACCACATAAAACAAAAATGGGTGACACACAAATATTTGGTGACACACATAAAGTATCTTAAAGAGGGTTTCTTATGGTTGATTTCTTTAAGCAGGAAACACTGATTAGCCACTGAAAGAATGGGGAAGCCACTGTGGCTTTGTGTAGCACACAAGATAGACATATTGCTTGCGATTCCCATAGAATATATCTTTACAAAAAGTACAAATTTCCAAGTTTCGCAGTTTCACAAGGAACCGCAATATAGAAAGTTACTATGCACCTGAACTGGCTGTTTGGAGAAAACGACAACAAAAATATATATATCAACACTGTGTGGAGATAATAGTCAGAGTTACAACTCCCTCTTCCTTTAGTGAGAGTAGCGACTCATCTTATAGAGTGATTTGATTTAGTTACCTGGTATTTAAGTTTCTACAGTACGAAATGAAGGTAGATTCTTAGGCCAGTAAAAACATTTAAAACCACTGTTACTTTAGGGTTGGATAATTACATTACAGCTGTGTAAAAAAGGGCAGCACCACATGTCATCCAGCTTACCTACTGGACAACTAACAAAAATTTCAAACAATTCTAACTAGAGTTGAATAGATTTATGGCATTTGGTTTATGTGTTTGTTATGAAGTGGAGTTATAAAAAACAGTATCATTTGCTTTGCTGACTTTTGGACGCTATGATTAATATATAAGAAAACCAAACAACATTCTTCAAGGGATAAAGGAGCAAGGTCTTAAAATATATTAGGTAGAGATGAGATTAAGAGTCAAAAAGCCCTGTACACACTATATTAACTTACATATTCCTCTTACATTCACCTCAACCAGAATAAAAGCAAATTTAAGAATGTATATATGTAATATATATAATAAATGCTTTATTATATATATATATATGTATAAATTTTCTAACTACCAAAAAAAGTAATTTTCAACTCTAAAATGTAATCATCAGATCATCTGGACATGCTATTCTCTCTCAATGCACATGCATAGAAACTTACAAGCACACAGAGAGAGAATATGTGCCCCTGGGTAGTGAAGGAAGAGTGAACCCAGCTGGCTTAGCTACGCTACTGCCAGAATTGGGATTGAAATAATTCATCCAGAGGAATAGCATCAGCCCATGTATTTTTCCCTGTATTTTCAGCCCTTCGGATTCTAAGCTCTTTCAACACACATATACCCAAGTTTCCTTGGAAGCAAAGAACAAAAATGGCAAAGTGTGCTATTTAGAAACCTTGGGAAAATTTACTGTGCACCTACTAGATTTCAAGGTGGTCAGGTCAGTAACTGGGCTAAGAGTTACCTACAGCAAAAATTTTTTAAATGCATTCATTGATGAGTGTGCTTTTTTTGGGTTGCACTTATTTAAATCTTAGTCAGGGGCATTAGACACCGTGTGAACTTCCATACTGGAATCCAGCACTGCCTCTGAGTTGGAGGCATCATTTTCAATTTTCTGTTCTGCATATGCATCTGTTCTTTCTGGGGACTCAATGCGACTGCGGACTTCAGCCACACCTGGGTGATTTTTTCGCAGGTGCTGGTTGAGTGTTCCCTGGAAGGGAAAGCACTTCCCACAGATCTCACAGCGGAAAGGCTTATCGTCAGTATGGCCACGGATATGGTACTCCAACTGGTCCTTTCGTGTATACTTCTTACCGCAGAACTTGCATACAAAAGGGGTGATCCCCATGTGGAGTCGCATATGCCGGTCAAGGCTCCCCTTTTGGTTAAAGGACTTTCCACAGTAAATACAGATCAATCTTTCGTTGTATGGATACCAGTGGCCTCGTGCACTCCTCTCCCGAGGGCTGCTTTCATACCCAGGATTATTCACAAGAGCTTCACCATCTGACCCTTGTACCAAACTCTGCAGATCACTGTGCAGATGGACAGAGGGGCGCTTTTGGCGGGCCCGGCCCCCTCGGAAGCAACTTAGCATAGACCTGGACGGGCTGGAGTTGCTCAGGTTCCCAAAAGTTTCTGATATACTTGATGGCTGAGAGGCTACTTGGGAAAAGGAATATGCATGCTGTAACACAGAGCCATAGGAACCTACATTCACTGCCACCACTTGTTCACCATCCACCATCTCAGTGTGGTAGCCATCATCACCCAACGAAGAGCTGTCTGAACAGCTAGGTCGCTCTGATTTCTCGATTTTCACTTTCACCTCCGTGATCTGGCTCTCCCTCACAATCAAGTCCCCGTGTTCATGGTCACCTTCTATCTGAATCTCATACTCAGAGACACTCCCACTGCTTCCTCGGTCTGAGTGGCCTTCTTCTTGCAAGCGGCCACGCAGAGATTTGCTTGGAGTGGCCTCCATCCGTAGATCATTGCCAGCGGTTGGCTGACGCACCTGAGAGCAATATGGAGGCGAGATCTCTACTGGATTGGCAAAGAAGCTGCTCTCTTTAACTCCATTGCGGTTTTCTGAGTTTTCATCAGCACCAATGGTAACAGAGTCGACATCCCCAATGCTGATTTTTGAATGGATGCTCTCCAGGATCTGTGTGCACTTGTCAATGACACACTGCATCTGAAGAAAGCTAGCAGCAGTGAGAAAGCTGACAACATCCTTCAGTTGTAAGGACATTCTTCCAGTGTAACAGAATGAGAGCAACTGTTCAAAGACATTAGGATTCTTAATCACTGAGATGGATAAGCCACTCATGGTGCTTAATGCTGAATGGTCACGAAAATAGGGAGAGCTGGCAGCAAGGACGGCTTTGTGGGCTCGGAACGGCTGCCCCTGAATATGCACAATGATGTCACACAGTTTTCCTTGAAGGCGGAGTTCATTTAACTGGCTCAGAACTGTGTTGCTGTACTCGGGCACGTCAAACTGAATAAAACTGCTGCTGTCCATTTCTACTGACATGAAGCGTATCTAGAAAGAGAGAGAGAGGAAAAGGGATAGAGACAGTTTTATAATCCATTTATATTCTACATCATGTGGTAAAAATGGCATAGGCATAAGTTTGTGAGTGTGTGGCATGTAGCTACTAAAGCTTTTTCCATCAGCCATATCTGAACATTCTTCTGTTCATAAGTTCATAAGACTTAAGAGCTAGAAGAGAATCATGGAAGACTAAGATTTAGAACTGTACGTGACTTCATTTAACTTTTTTAAGTTTTAAAAATTCTAAACTTAAAACATAAAAAAATGAGCACTTCTATACATACAAAACATAAATTGTGACTATTTCTGGAACTTTGTTTCACTCTGTCTTTTTGTGGGTTCTGCTGCTCTAGAAGTTGTTTAGAGCCATTTTTTACAGGTATGTGGAGAGGTTTGGGGGAGAGCTCAAGCAAGTCACTGCTTTCCTCTGCCATCTTGGCTCCACCCCGTGACTATTTCATACTGCCTGGTTTTATATATATATATATCTCACACATTTTCAATACTGTCCTGTTTACTTGTGCTTTCTTCTGTATATTTTAAAAAGTGTTTCAAATGGCCCTCTTTTTTGTGGCATCACTATTGCTAACATTCCCTGTGCCCTGACTCCTAACTCCACTGAAAATCAAAAGAGGAAAAAGTAAACCATATAGCAAATAAATATAATTGAGCAAAACAAATCTACATAATAACCATGTCCAAAAAGGTATGTCTCTGTCCGCACCTTAAGTCTACCATCTCTTTGTCAGAAAATGGGTAATATGCTTCATCCTAAGTCCTCTGGAGGGATGGTCATTGCATTAATCATAGTTCTTGAGTCTTTAAAGTTGTTTTCCTATACAATGCTGTTCTTACTGCATGAATTGTTTTCCTGGCTCTGTATACTTAATATGAAGTATGAATTCACACTACACAGGATTCTCTGAAATCATCTTTATTTGGTCATTTCTTCTGGTACAATAATATTCTATTTTTCACAGACTACCATTCAGCAGACACTCTTTAATTCATGAGTGTGCCTTCCCTCTTCTTTAGGTTCAAGTTCCTTGCTTTTATTTTTTCTTTTTAATCCCCCTTTCCAGATCAGGAAGTTTGTTTCAGTTCCAACTATTCCCTCACTGGTAATTATCCTCCCTCAACTCTCCATTTCTCTGTTGAGTTTGATATAGTTAACATCAAACTGTGTTCTGTGTTTCTGTGTGTTCATTCAATGTCACTGGATCAAAGAGTATGTAGCAGGGAGTAATGTGTTGGTTATGAAGGGCTTTGGATGGCAAAAAGTGGATTTTGTATTTGATCCTGAAGATAACAGGAAGTCACAGGAGTTTATTTAGTAAGGAGCAAATGGTCAGACCTGCAACTTAGGAAAATAAATTTGGTGGCTGAATGAAGAATAGATTGGAGTAGGGAGAGACTTGAGGGAGGCAGCCTGACCAGCAGGCTATTGCAATGGTCTAGACATGAGGTGAGGAGGGCCTGCAACAGAGTGGTGACAGCATCAGAGAAGAGAAGGGGTCATATTCAAGAGGTGTGGCAAAGGTGAAACTGTCAGGTAGAGAAGTTAGCCTTGGTAAAGAAGACAATGAGAGACAATGATGAAAAGAGACAGTGGCAGAAGGCATAAAAGTTATGTGAGATGGGAAAGAGGGAGTTCAAAATGAATGGCCTCAATTTTTTTCTTTAAAATGAGGCAAGATTGTTAATTGAGAAAGCTGGGGGAGAAGAGACATGGATAGCTTCAGGAGGAATGAAAAAGGTCTGGAAGAGCTACCATGGAAAGTGGGATAGTGAATTGAGAAGAGAGGAATAAGAGGATTAACTGGTAGCAGTGAGAGTCCACTTGAGGTTGTGTAATATAAATTTGTGTTGTACCCACTCAGAACAGGTGCATTATTTTCTCCTCGTTCATTCAAGAGAACATGTATAGGAGAGGGGCGACAAAAGGTGGAAGTGATCTGGCATGAGAGGGTGTAAGTGGCAAAATGATGCTGTGGGAGGAAAGAACAGTGTAAAGTTGAATTAGTTCAACAAGGGGTCAAGATGGAGAGAAGAGGAGAAAATGGCTAGTGCAGGGGAGATGGGCTCAGAGAGAACTGAAGAGTCAAGGGACTGGAGGTCATACTATGGATGAAGAATAGGCTTTTTGCAAGGAAAGGCAGAGGGAGACATGGGAAGCCAATAAATGTCAGATAATGTTAGGTCAGATAAGGGGATTTCAAAATTCTGGAACACGGAGGTAATACATTTGTGGGTGACCTTAAGAGCAAGAGGATGACCATCTTTTTGTGTGGCTAAGGAGAGGTAGAGGTCATGGGAAATGAATAGGTTGAGGGAGTGACTGGTTAAGGTATTTGAGGGAGAGTCAATATATATACTGGAGTTCCTTAGTATGAGGGCAGGAGTCAGGGAGGACAGAAAACTGTGAACCACATACTAAAGTCATTGAGGAAGGAATGAGAGTGAGTTGGAGGTCTGTAGACAATAGTTAACCAGTATTTTTGAGTGGGAGAGACTAATAGCATGTACTTCAAAGGAGGGTAAGTTACTTAATGATGAAGGCAGAAAGAGAACCTGAATGTTGCAATAGGGAGCTCCAGCAGTATAACTCCCTGGCTCTGGCTAGTCAGCTGAAGGGTATGAAGGAAGGTGTATAGCCAGAAACAGAAAGGGTGGCCAGGGAAGTTGTGTTTATGAGGGAGCTAGGTTTCAGTAATAGCTAGTAGATGGAAGTAGTGGGAAAGAAAAGATTTAGAACAAAGAAGCTTATTACCTATGGAACAAGCATCTAGAGGGCAAGAGTGGAAAGTGATTTTTTTTTTTTAAACTTTAGAGTGGGAAGGTGGAAGGGGATGAGAACAAGGAATTGAGAGGTGGGGAATAGGGAATAGAGTTTAGAAGATGATCTATGGGACTTCAGAATCATTGGGATATGTGGGATATGACTAGGTGTGAGAATGTTCATAATTAAGTCAAAAACACCCCTCTTCTTCCCAAGGAGGCTGCAGATTGGGCTGGAGACAAGTACAGTATGAGATAAAAGACATATGGTCAGATGGAAGGCCATATTTCACTATTCCTCTTCCTTCCAAAGGAAGCAAGTTTTATAAAATTTATCTGCTTTTACAAATAATTGTAATAAAACTTCAAGTTGTATTATATTCTGTATTTAGCAAAATATTTTTCTCTTCTTTTTCTCATTTTAACCAATGGTAACCATAATAAACCTATGACATAGCTAGGGAACTCACTCTACACTTTACTGAAATCTGAGGTCCATCAAGGCTAATTGACTTATCTGTCATGACATGGTGTTGTCTTATAATTTAGGGATCTTGTAATTGTTTTTAAGAGTTGTTTGTAGGATACCTAATCTGTAGATTAGGCAAAAAAAGGGTGAAGCAGGAGAAGAAAAGTCCCAATCCCCACTGACTTTCCTCTCTGTCTTCCTTTAAGGAACAGGTACAGCAGGACAGGGAAGGCCTAATGTCAAAGGAAGGTTGTGACTCTCCACTGGGGGGGTTCTCTGCATCAAAGCCTGGACATTGGGCTAGCAGAAGGTGGAAGTTGCTCTGTGCTTGTACAGATGGAAATTAGCCCAATCCTCAGGCAGCACAGCAGGGGAGCTTTCCCTTCTTGTTGTCCCTGGACACAGAGCCTTGCAGACCATATTTCTTTGGTTTTACTGGGATAATAGTGACTTGTTTGCCAGTACTGGCTGTGGCCAATACTGGTGGCTCCCTTTTCTACTGATCACAGTGTTCTGGCTGACATTTCTATACATTTCTGAGGTGAAAAAAGTTATTTATTACAGTTTCTCATTGGATTTCTCAATCATTATTTAGTCCAGTGCGAATTTCCAGTTTTTGCTGCAGTAGTATGTGGGAGCTGAGCAGTCTGTCTCTGTTCAGGCAGTCATATTGGCTGGCAGTCATCTGGAAGGAACTTTATAAATAATTTAGTCTAACCCTATTATTTTTCCAATGAAGTCTAAAGAAGGCAAGTGAGTTGCCCAAGGTCACACAGGTGGTAAATAGCAGCCGATGTTCGAAATCTGGTCCTATCAATACATATAGAATCTGGTATTCTTTATATTAGTTTATAGTTAAGCTGTTCTATACTTTGGTCCTGAACCCTATAGAAATGTCACCTATGCAACTCCTTTGGATTAAAATGAAAATGTCTCAGATGGCCAATGTCTCTAGTTTCACACCAACCTTTCCATATCTAAATTTAGCAGATGTTTCCCTTTAACTTTAATGGCCAAATTTATGCCTCTTTGATCAGATAAAAAGAGACTCTCATTCAAAGACAGAATGAAATAGCCACATAAATTTCATTGCTGCAAGGGCTCTCACAGTCTCAGCTCTACTATTTATAAGCTATAGGATCACGGCAAATTACTTCCCCTCAGTCTCAGTTTTCTACATCATAAAATGGAGGTAATTATATTTAACAATACCTTCTTTATAGGATTGTTTATGGGGAAAGAACTTTGTAAAAGAAAGCACCACAGAAACCTGAGAAGTTGTTAATATTTCCTAGTTCACAGGGTTGTTGTGAGAAAGGTGCTTTGTAAATGGAGTCCAGAGATTGTCTCCATAAAGCCCAAGTTCTCTTCTCCTGAATGGTTTTGAGAATGAGAACTTGTTTTGAGAACAGGTTTTGCTTCCCTGGAGTCCTGTGATACAGTACCCAAGTCAAAGCTTAACCTGAGGTTAATGTGAACTATCTGCACCTATACCAGTTATCTTATCACTGAGGAGTCAAACTATTTCCCATATCAAAGGATACAAGACCGTGCTGACTGTCCAATACAGACAGAACTATCTAAAAAAAGACAAGGCTATGGGCCGCCATCCTACAAACAACTCTTAAAAACAATTACAAAATCCTTAAATTATAAGACAACACCATGTCATGACAGATAAGTCAATTAGCCTTGATGGACCTCAGATTTCAGTAAAGTGTAAAGTGAGTTCCCTAGCTATGTCGTAGGTTTATTATGGTTACTATTGGTTAAAATGAGAAAAAGAAGAGAAAAATATTTTGCTAAATACAGAATACAATACAACATGAAGTTTTATTACAATGATTTGTAAAAGTAGATAAGAAAATGTGACAGATGCTATGTAATTACCAAATTCATGGACTCATGGATCTCAGTTTCCTTCTATGTAAAATGGAGCTTGACTAGATGATTTCTTAGGTCCTTTTCAGTCAGTTTAAGCTATATCAACTATTCATACTACCTTCTGGGAAGAGTAGGAGGCAGAGTTGTGGTTGTATCAGTGTAGAAAACTTTCTGTACCAAGGCAGCTCTGCCGTTCAACTGGAACTTATAGTCCTAGAGAGCTTCCTGGGGGCCCTGATAGGTTAAATGACTTCACCAGGGTGGCAAAACTAATATATGGCAAAGGTTTGTTCCTAATTTCAAGACTGTGCCTCTATCTACTACATGATACTGCCTCATTTACAGTTGTCCTTGTTACCAAAAATAGCAAGCTAATATTCTAAAATTTTTCTTCAACAAACACATTCATTTTTAACAAAACAAACATTTATATTTTATTTATGAATGGGACCTTAAAAACAAACAGAAAATCTTCAAGATAGAGGTAAAAATTAAAAATTAAAAATACTGGGTTACATAGCTGCACTTTCAACTTCTTTTTTCCTCTGCATCAACACAAGAGAAAAAAAAACTTCCATGATGTTCAAGTCCCAAATGTCTTCTCATTGAGAATGATTTATGAGAAATGGATGAACACATTATGGTTTAGGATGTAATGGAATACTACTGAGTCAAAAGAAATGATGAAATTGTCTGAAAAAGCTGAGAAGACTTGTATGTATGAACTGGTACAAAGTAACATAAGCAGAACCAGGAAAAAAAAAAGTTATACAATAAAAACAACACTAAAACCAAACAACTTGGAAAAATTTAAGAACTCTCAACACAATAAGCAACTATGACTTCAGAGAACAAAAAATCAAGCATATTACTTACCTCATGACAGAGAAGTTATCAACTCAAGATGCAGAATGAAATATTTATTTTTTTGGAAATGAACAATGAGGGAATTTGTTTTGCTTGACTATGCGTATTTGTTACATGGATTTTATTTTTTCCCATTGGGGAGAGAGAAAAAAAAATTTTTGTTACTTGAAAATTTAAAGAAAAAGTGTATTAGTTTGGGAAGAAAAAAAAATTCCTATACCTACAGAAACTACTGTTAAAAAAAAAAACCACCAGACTAAAATTTACTTACTGTCCACTGGTATGATTTTCTTCATAACTTTGTAAGCAAACACGTTTCTTAAATAGTTCACTTTTTGCCCTAAAATGTATTATGGTTAACATAATAAAGGTATAATTATTGGATGTTATATCATAGCTAATTTTCTTTGTTTTTTAGTCGTCTCATCTGTGAAATTAAAGAATTGAACTAGATGACTACTACAAGGCCCCTCTCCAGTTCTCATATTCTTAAATCTATTCCATAATGTGTCTATTTTAAAAGTTACAAATTTAAAAATAAAAACAAAAAAACAGACTTCAAAGGCAGAGGTCAGCAGGAGAAATTAAAAATATCTGACTTTGTAACTGTTACTCCCTTTTTATTAATGCAATAAAAAAGAAAGTTTTCCCCTCTCTTCAGTTCCCAAATTGAAAACTCCCATTTATCTGAAAAGCTCACATACTCAGAATTTTTCTTAGGAACAGAAGTCTGAGAGATTAACATTGCTGAAGATCTGAGGTTCAAATGAAGGCTGTGACTGATTAGCACAGGTAACAAGAGGTAACAATGGCCAGCAAGAAAATGATTAAGGGGCAGCTAAGCAGCACAGTGGATAGAAGACCTGGAGTCAGGAGGACCTGAGTTTAAATGTTGTTTCAGACACTTAATAGCTATGTGACTCTGGGCCAGTCACTTAACCCCAATTTCCTCAAAAAGAGAGAAAGAAAGAAAGGAAATGATTAATACATTACCTGATGCTAACTCAGCTTCATGAAGATGAGCTGGAGAATTGTCTGCTATCCTCAAGTAAACTTATGCTACTAAAACATTCTTTCCCTGCAGATACAAAGACAGAATGACACAAATTAGACGAAAAAAATACTCATGTTCATCCTTATACTTTTTAAGCAACAAATCTAACTTCTGAAAGTTCCAAGGAAATTTATATTCTCCAGCTCACTGGAGTTTTAATTTTATGAGCAACCAGATCATTAGACCCCATAAGCTTATCTTCCTAAACTCCGCTTAACTAGCTCTGAGTCACTAAAACCTACCAGGAAAGGATATGGTTACAATAGCCAACACTGTCTGTGACCAAATTGTTCAGGGGCTAGACAATATTGGCTATGGTAATTAACAAAATTAGTTTGTTGCATTTTAGCTCCATTGCTTGTGAGGGAAGCAAGGAGGCTGGTCATCAATAATAGTAATAAGAAATTACTATCATTCAGATTTATATTGTTGTTTCCAGCTTACTAAAATTCCTGTGAGTTAGGACAAACATTCTTATCCATATATTATAGAAAGTAAAACTGAAGCTCAGAAAGTTTAAGTGACTTAACCTTACAAGACTGCAGCTAGGAAGTGGCAAAGTCTAAGCTCAAAGGCAGGTCTTCTGCCTCCAAGTCCAATAGTCTTTCTGTTTTATAATGCCATGATGAACTTCAAAATGTGAAAGCTATCCCTCTGAAAATTCAGTAATGGCAGTAATAGTACCACCAAATAGTAATTCGTATTTTGATAGTGCTTTAAGGTTTACAAATTTACAAACTGCTTTTTTCACAACAACCCTGAGATAGAGAGCAGTACATAGTCCAGTCAAGTGTACTGCTCCTAAAAATTTGTTGCTGCATCTGGATGGTCTGTTTTGGGGATAGTGAGAGCATGTAGGTGTTCCAATGCTTTCTCTCAATCCAAATTAGCAAGAACTTGATGAAAGGTCCTTTCTGAATCTTGACATCCTAACACAAACAGGACTGTATAATCTCTGTGAGCGCTGCTAGCTCTGTGTCTACAACCCTACTCTTACTTCAATATATCTCTCTTCCCGATCATTTCAAAATGTATACAAATGTGCACAAAGACTCATTGTCACTGAACTTTCTTTAGTTTAGCACAACTTCAAGTTTTAATTCTTTTGCTTTTTACAAGTTATTTTGAAAGCCATATACATACATGCACGCATGCATCTGTGTACATATACGTATGTATATACATAAACATTATATATATATGAAATATTATCATTTACAGGAAAATACAGCTCTAATCTCTTCTATTGCTATTTTCTTCCACTTCTTCAGTACTGTACCTCTATTTTACTCCTCATTTGCAAATACACTGATAATAATAATTTATGTGGCTCATGCATTCCATGGATCTGTGGCCAGGGATGGGGAAAGTGATGATTCAGCATGGGGTAAATGTGAAGCCAGGTTAAGACTTCAAGACAGCAGTTGCCATAGCCTTTGGTAATATGGCTGTGAATGCTATAACAGGTCTTATCAGTGCACATAAAGACAGAGGATAAGACAGCTCCCATCTTGATTTCAATAGCTTCAAATATGGTGAGGATCCATTAGGCTGTCCCAGCCATAGAGTGAACAGCTGGGGCTTTGCTTAATGTGTCCGTTGATCCACACCTCGCTGCTCAAGAAAGCCTGTTCCCCCCCATCCCCCAAAATAGCACGAGGTACACTATATATTGTTTTTTGTTTTGTTTTGTTTTTAGTCAAAGTAGTGAGATTTTATTATAACACAAGAATGGTGGGCAAGATTCCGAGTAAATCTGCCTATATTGTTTTATATAATACTGATTTCTCTTGCCTCCCCTCAGTTTCCCTCTTCTCCTTCATTTACCTCAAATGGCTGTTTACCTTCTCTCCTCCCTTGCCACTTTCCTTCTTCTGCCTTCCTCAAATCACATCCTTTTCCCCATTCTCTCCACTTCGGCACTAGCAGCATCATTGGCCTTTGGCCTGTTCAACAAGAAAAAAAAAATCACACAAGCACTTGTTTAAACTTTTAGTTCTCCTTAGTAGCTCTCCCCAGTTTATACCCATTGATAAAATTCTGATGGTTCCAACTTTCCCACTGTTTTGATTCCAGGTTAACCACACTAGATTTTTAAAATAAAATGGTACAACCATTACATCATCTTCATTTAACTGGCAACCTTTGTGTAAAACTCTGCTATTCAACATCATCTTGTACATTAAGCACAATGAATCAACTGGTTATGTTGATTCACTGGTTATGTGGACAATGTGGATCAACTGGTTATGACAGTCAAAAAATTAACATGATCTCAGGCTATATTCCAGTCCACAGGCAGTTTCCAAAACAAAGGGGGTAATACTACTACTATACTCTCTGATCAAAACACATCTAGAGCACCACACTCCGTTCTGAGTAATACATTTTAGGAAGCAAATTCAGAAGCTTGACTATGGTGACAGGATGGTGACAATACTGGAGACTATGCCAGAAGATCAGTGAAATGCTTGGGAATATTTAGCCTGGAGAAGAAAAGACTTAGAGAGGACACGATGAAGGACAGTCCTGCTGAGGAAGAATAAAATTTCTTCTAATTGGCCCCAAAAGGACCAGGGCATAGTAGATCTTGAGCTGAAACAGATCTTGAGCTGAAAAGAACATGAGATCATCTGGTCCAATCCCTTCATTTTACAGGTAAGGAAAATGAGATTTGGAGGGTTAAATGATTTGCCTGAGATGAACAAATAAATATTTGTTGAGGGAATGAACTACGAACAATGTGTGAAAACTGCAGCAGTAGGTTTTACCCTGATAATAGGAAAGACTTTGCAACAATGAAAGTTTTTTAAAAGGTAGAAAGGGCTGCTTTGGGAGGTGGTAAGCTTCTTATCATTGAAGGTCTGTAAGAAGCAGCTGTATGATCATTTGTCAGGGATGCTGTATAGGGGACACCCTCTCAGATGGAGATTAAACTAGATGATCTCCAGGGTCCTTTCTACTTCTCAGAATTTGTAAAATCCATTTTTGAAAACGTCAAGTTTAAGTGGAACCATTCAGGTTGAGCATACTTCAACCAAATTTCTCTTTAGATTTAGTTTTCATCAGGACCATTAAGAAAAGTTTCACAGTAGTACTATCTTTCCTGTTAGCCTATCTCCAAAAACCAAAGCTGAAGTAAAAGAGAAAATTTATTCATTCAAATAATTATTGAACACATAATAGGAATGATATTTTCCAGGAACTTACAGATAAGTAGGAATAATAGTGTGGTAAATAAAACATGGACACAATAAACTATAATAACTCTTCAAAGTAGGTAGGACAAGTGTAATTGTTCCTATTTTAGATATGGGGAAGTTACGTCTCAAAGAAACTTATGTTGACTAATGCTATATATATTTATATATTACACATAATAGATATTATATATATACTGTTTCTAGCAGTTTAGGCGAGGACTCAAATCTAGGACTTATGAATTTAAATTTCATGCTCTTTCCACTATATCATTTTAAGGGATATTAACAATAATACTATTATTAAAATTAACTATAGCTCACATTTATACAGTGTTCTTAAAATTCCAAAGTATTTTCTTAATAACAATGCTGTGAATTATATAGTATAAGTATTCTTATTTCCATTTTACAATCAAGGAAATAGGTTCAAACAAGCAAAGAGACTCATTCAGGTAAAACATTAGCACGCAGGCTCAAACCCAGGTCTCCTGACTTCAAGTCCAGTATTTTTTTCATCATACTGCACTGGGTGAAATACCTTGATCAGTAGTTTACCCATAATTCAGGAAGCAATGGACAGTCATTGACAGTTTCTGAGTAGAAGAGCAACATGCTCAAAGCTGGGTGTTAAGAAGATCAATCTAGAGTCCTGTGCCATGCAGATGGGATAGAGAGACACATTGGAAGCAGGTTATGAAATGAAAACTCACCTTTCCCTCTCTTCTCAGGAGAATGGCACCCTTAGCAAAAAAACAAACACTACCATTTACACCTAGTGGAGGTATTCCATTTTTCGGTAAAAATGAGAAAGGAAAGTCACAATTCTCTTCTCTATTGCTTACATTACCACTTTCCTTTCAGAGTGAAAATTAGATACAAAGATTTTTTTTTCCCTTAAAGCTGCTAACAAGTAACACTCTTTAATAAGAAGGTTCTGAAGTCCCAATGTAGTGAACTTACACTTAATATTTTAAATTCTAAGCACACTATCAAACTAATAGGGCCAGGAGGCACAATTTGTCACAAACTTTTATACCCAACAACTTGATGTTGTAGGTTTATAGGATCACAAGATTTATAGCTGGGGGGAACTCAAACTAGATGTTCCTTTTGTTGTTGTTCAGTCATTTTCACCTGTGTCCCCGACTCTTCGTGACTCCATTTGGAAGTATTCTTGGCAAAGATACTGGAATGGTTTGTCATTACCTTCTCCAGCTCATTTTACAGCTGAGGAAACTGAGGCAGACAGGGTTAAGTGACTTGCCCAAGGTCACAGAAGCCAGTGTCTGAGCCCAGATTTGAACTCAGGAAGAGAAGCCTTCTCGACTCTAGGCCTGGCACTCTGAACATTGTGTCACCTAGCTGCTCATATGTACCATAGGGTCCCACAGGCACCTCAAACTCAACATGTCCAAAACTTTCCCTAAACCCGGCCTCTTCCAAACCTGCCTACTACTGTTAAGTTCACCACCGACTCAGATACAAAATTTCAGTGTCAGCATCATCTACTAACTCTCGCTAACCTCACATACCAAATCCAATGCAAAAATCTTGTGATTTTTACCTTCACAATATCTATCATATAATCTCCTCTTTCCTCTATAAACACAGTCACAATCCTAGTCCATACCTTCTTCACTTCTTTCTGGACTGTTGTAATGTTTCCTCCTTCCCAATTTAGTTTGCCTCAAGCCTCTCCCTATTCCAAACACCCGCACATAGCTGTCAAAGTATTTTTCCTATAGTGTAGATCTGATCATGTCACCATCTAGCTCAACAAACTCCAGTGACTTCCCACTCCCTCAAGGATCAAACTTACACTCTACTATTTGACATTTAAGGCTCTTTATAACCAGGTCCCTTCCTTCTTTTCCAGTCTTCTTACAGGAGTACCTGTCCCCATACTCTTTGATCCATACACATTAGGCTCTCTCCTTCCACCCTTGATCATATTCCCTGCTGCCTTATCCAGCAGATTGCCCCTACCTTCTTCTCTCTTTCTAATCTTCAATCTCTCTCCCTACCTCCAATCCTTTGACCCCTCCATTCTTTCCAAAGCCATCAAATCACCCCTGCACTACTATTCTCCTCCCTTCCCCATCTTGACCCCATGGTGAACTAGTTCAACAACTCTATATTGTCCACTTCTACTGTCCCTTGCCCCTTTATTGTATCACTGATCTTGCCCAGCAAGCCTCTGCCTTGGATGACTCCCACCTGCTGCCTTTGCTTCAAACTCATATACTGCTGAATGAAGTTGAAGAAAATCAGGAAACTGTGCTGACTGGGTCCACTACAAATTTGAGTTACATAGTTTCAGCTGGGCCCTCCCTTTGGCAAGGCAATCCTTTTATAGTTCCCTAATTAACTTGCTATCCCACTCACCACAGGGGTGCTTCCAAACTCTTTCATCCCTCCTCACACCACCATGGCTCCCCCTCCTCAGCTGAGAACCTTGCCTCATATTTCACTGAAAAAAACCGATTCCATTCACAGAGAATTCCTTCTTCATCTCACATAACCTAGATGTTTTCTACCCCGTCCTCTTTCATTCTTGTCTCACATGAAGAAGCAGCCCTTCTCCTACCCAAGGCAAACCCCTCTACATGCACAACTTTTCCTATTCCATCTGTTCTTCTCCAAAAGATTACCCTTTCTATCCTCCCAACTTTCTCACTCTTTAGTTTCTCCCTGTTTACTGGCTGTTTCCCTACTACCTACAAAAATGTCCTTGTTTTCCCTATCCTCAAAAAATACTTGATCCATTTATCCTCATTAGCTATATTCCATATCTATCCTCCCTTTTGCAGCTAAACTCCCTGAGAAGGCTAGCTATAATAGGTGGATCCATTTCCTTTCATTCCTCTCTCTTCCTTAATCTCTACAGTCTGGCTTCTAATATTATCATTCAACCAAAACAATCTCTCTGAAGTTATCAATGACCTCTTAACGTCCAAATCTAAGAGCTTTTTCTCAATCCTCATTCTTCTTGACCTCTCTGCAGCCCCTGACATTATTGATTACCCTCTTGTCCTTCATACCTTCTACTCTCTAGATCTCCTTGACACTACTCTATCCTAGTTCTCCTCCTACCTGTCTGACCACTCCTCAGTCTCTTCTGCTGAATGTCTATCCAAGTAACACTTGCTTAAAGGTGGATGTCCCCCAGGGCTCTGTCCTGGGCCATCTTTTCTTTGCCCTCTATAGAATACTATTTCACTATATTATTAAAAATAGATATTTACTATCTTATCAGCTCCCATGAATTCAACTATAATCTCTATGCTGATGATTTATTCTTGGGTCTACTTATCCAGGCCTAATCCTAAACTATGCATCTCCAATTGCTTATTCCAAACTAGACATCTTACACTCAACAACTTAACTTGTCTTTCCCCCCAAATCTTCCCCTCTTCTTAACTTCATTATTACTGTTGAGGGTACCATAATCCTTCCAAGGACACAGGCTGCCATCCTCAGCTCCTCATTTTATCTCATTTCCCATAATCAATCTGTTGCCAAGGCTTGGCAATGTTACCTTTACATCTCTCCAGTACTCCACCTTTTCTCCTTTGATGCTGCCACTACCTTGGTCAAGCCTCATCACGTGACACCAAGACAACTGCAACAGCCTTGATTGATCTCCCTGTCTTAAGTTCTCTTACCACTACAATCCCTCTTTCCAAAACTGTCAAATTTTTCTCCCTAAAGTGCCAGATTTTCCCATGTTATTTCCTTATTCA